CTCCTTTAAACCTATCTTACAAAACCTGAGCAGTTTTAAACTGTTCTCCAAAACTGTAGATATATTACCAACAAAATAAGACCACTCCGGTGGACTAGTGGTTAGAGCGTCCTCCTTGAATGCTGGAGGGCGAGGATTTGAACCTAGCCCGAGTCATATCAAAGACATATAAAGATGGTACTAGCAACTACCTCGCTTGGCACTCAGCATTAAGAGGTAGTGGTAGGACTGATCGGCCTTGTGTCATGATAATTTGACTGGGTTGGAAGTTATGCTACATGTCTGCGACATCAAGCCCCAGTACTTGACATCATAATAATCTGTCACAGTGCAGATATCGTAGCATTATGACTGAACAATTGTTAACTCAATGTTAAAAAACCAAGTCACACACAAACACAATAGCAAAGAAGCGCATTGTGGATCATAATTATGTGCAGTATTTTGGGTGTAGCCTGTTTAATATTCATTCACACACCATGAACTAATAATAATAATAATAATAATAATAATAATAATAATAATAATAATAATAATAATAATAATAATAATAATAATAATAATAATAATAGCAAGAACAAGAAGACGAAAGGAAAAAGAAAAAGATATATTTGTTATATTATTTCACACTTTATAGTGTGTTCGCAATATCTTTGACATAAATTTGGACAACAGTAAGAATAAAAGGGTTCAAGCTGGTTTTATTTGTTGGAAAATAAAACTATTAGAAAACAACTGAACAATTAACTAAACAATTTTATTTCTTCAAGTGCACAAATGAGCAATAAACAGTCACATTTCAAAACAGTAATCAAGTCTATATTTAATATTTATATGATATAATTAAACAGACCAAGCCTTTCCTGATAATAAGTTTGCATGTAAATCAATTATTTAAATTTTCACAGCAACATATATTTTCCGAGCCTTATTCCGAGCCATACCTATATGGCACCTTAGCCAAGATTTTAGAAACCCGACATCGTTAGCTATTACGCCACGAAAGTAATCATCCATCACCAATTCAAAAAGGGCTTGTCTCAAATGACACTGATATAACTATCGGATATTTCAATATACAAGGCATATTATGGTATTTTTGACAGCAGTGTGTAAATCTTTTTTAAATATTACAATACACAAATCATCAGCGTGTAAATCTTATTTGAATATTACACTGCACAAGGCATATTGTGATACTATTCATACCACTGTGTAAATCTTATTTGAATATTGCCATACACATGGCATATTATGGTACTTTTTATCAGTGTGTAAATCTTATATGAATATTACAATACAAAAGGCATATTATGGTACTTTTCATCAGTGTGTAAGTCTTATATGAATATTACAATACAAAAGGCATAAAATGGTACATTTCAGCATTTTGTAAACCTTACACATTGCAAGAAATGTTAAGACATGTTATTCAATGTATCTAAGATTAACCAAATCTAGATTTTTAGGCGAGCGGTATGTTAAATATTCCCTCTTACTCAAAGATCTATTCTAACAGTTTTTCCTTGTATGATGCGATGCCTATATAAACGACAAAACATGCAATATTAGTTATGGGCATTTGTTGTGGTTTATGACTAACTAATTTTATATCATTATGTTTGACTAAGAAGTTTGCAAATTACTTATGTTAGTTTAGAAGTGTTTTCTTCAAATCAGATGAATAAATGTAACTGAGCTCCAATAAAAACCAATAAAATCTCTTTGGTTAATTATCGTAGTTTTGTTTGTGACATATCAGTAAATGGTACATATGTCATGCTTCTCACGTAAACGTATATACGAACACGTGTTCAACGAGCTCAGTCAATAATATTTCTTAAATAATATCCATATACGTCTAATTAAATTTGGATTGCACTGCTGCAATGAATGAATTATATAGCTTTGTATTGATATATCGAAAAGTTTAAATCCACATCAATCAATATTCAACAATTAACTCTATATATTTTTAAGTTCTCTAGCATACCAAAAGCCAAGTAGTTAGCAATAGCTCACTATTAATTCTACATTTCATATTAGAGCTCATATTTATGTTTAAGGCTTTTAGTCCCAACAAACCTAGCTACTGTTGTGCGTATTTGATGCACACCAAGATAGTGGTACATCTCTGGCCCTGATACGCCTACAACCTCTAAACCAATCAAAAAGGTATTTGTAGAACACGTTATTGTATTTATTCAGGCACAAATCTACTAAGAAAGGTCATATTAATTAACTCAAAGCTCAAGATCGTAAGATCTGATAAGTCTACTGAAAATGTGTATGTATTTACAGTAACTCCTTCTGTATTGGATATGAATAAACGATGTCTTATAAATTATTTCTTCGTACATATCAAATTTGCATTGAAACATCTCCTAACAAGGGACATGTTAATCTATAAAGAACAAAACTAAGTGCACCATGTACTTGAACGGAATGTCACCATGGTTGTACTTATCCGCTTATGAAATTCACTTATTAATATATATTACATAAGATAATTTAATTTCATCCATTATCCGTTATTTTGGATTTTTGCATATGACACTTTCTATTTTTCATTTAAAATATCTATTAACTGATATTTTTATGAGAAAAACATAATGCATTGTACTATACATAATTAAGCAACACAGGGTTAGCATTTTCTTTATACGAAATGACCTATTTTTATTCTAATAGAAGCACTTTAGATGACATTATCGTTTATCAGCTGTGAGAGACATTGGACACCTTTCAATGATTATTGAATATATTAGAAAGAAAACAAGAAAATAAACTTTGAAATATGAGTAACAGAAATTGTTGCAAATAAAGGAAACCAGTATGAAGAAGGACGACTGAAGATGGCTCCTTACTATAAAAACAAGAGACGGAATTTAATACTGATCATCAGCATGTATCGGTGATTTTGTTCGTTCTAATTACGTAAAACGAAATACATACGGTTCATGTTGATTCATGGAATATTTCTTAAGCCATACGGCAAAACAATTTTCTACGTTCTGTTGTAAATCAAGAAAGGGTTCTTCTGAATACAATATTTGAAAAATCAAGTTAGTTAACACATGCTGAAGAGGTTTTTATGTATGATTTATGTCAATTGAGATATTTTCTCTTTCTAAAAAAAGACAATTTTTATAATTATGGTAGTTAATGTGTCAAACGCGAATCTCAATCTAAACCTTGAAGTCCAAAATACACTGGCAATAAGTATTACAAACACATCAGCAATGTTATGCGACGACAGGTCTAGTATCTATGTTTCTCAATCGGGTTATTTGTATGAGCAAATCTAAACACAGACCGTGGCAGTGGTATTTGGGTATGTGAAACAAGTTACCTTAAATTAGCGTGAACAAAGCAGGAAGATGTACAACGCGTGAGTAGGTGAAAGACAATAATTAAGAAAGAAAGAAAATCAAATGAGAAATTATTCACTAAAATGTTTCAAACATCGTGAAAATTGTTGAGAAAATAAGGATGAAAGAAAAATAAATAAATGCAAAGGAACAATAAAGCAAGATTGAAAGTAAACATTTTCAGGAGAGAATCGTTTTTGGATGAGATGGTCAATCATTTGGGAAAATGGGGGAAATTGCTGTTTACAGCTGTTCCTGACCCATGGAAGTGCATGCATGGTGGTAAGTAACATGTGCAGCTAAGTAAAACTTTTAACTCTTTACTAAAGTTATGGATGGCATTGAAAATACGAATGCTTACTTCATACGCAAGCGCTTTATCACCATGCAGAAGGTGTTTCAAGTTAAATTACCATATAGAGTTAGGGATTGAAAAACTGCGTTGTTCATCATAATAAATGCAAGATAAGAAGCAGTATTGTGTACTTTCTACAGAATCACATCTATAAAGCAGTGATTCAATTACATTATTTGTAAATAAATGTTTATTATGTTAACTGCAATTTGTTTTAAGCCTGGCAATACAAGTTTCATTGTCGCGAGTATTTAATGTGTTTTTCAAGTTATTATTGGAGTCTATAACCGTACCTTGGGTCAACACAGACAGTGAACCTATATACCAACAGGAATATTTAAGCCACTAGTCAGGAGAGAACAAAACTTGAGTTTTATCTCAGGTCACACGTATGTGGCATTTTCGGTACAAGAAATGTTACAAATGTTTTTAGGTCTCATCGGTAACCAAAGGATATACTCATCACATCAGGGCAAGATAATTAAAATAAGGAGGATATATCAGAATATTTAGGTACATAAATATAACATTTTGGTACATATATAAAACATTTTGGCAAAAATAAGAAACACTTGAGTATAAAAAATTCTACTCGATACGAATAAGTATTTCCTTGCAAAGTTTGACAAAATTTCTAATACCACATGCTGCAAACTACAACAAATTGTATGCATTTTATGGCATTGTATTCAATTTTAGAGTAACTGACATGGCACGAAACCTAATTCTTTGTGGAATTTGGGATAATTAAATAATGGTATTCATCTCCGATGTCGATTTTATCACAATAATCTCGTCTTCTTTTCCTCAAACTCTGTACTGTACCAAGGGCCGATTTCAATGGTGAATAATTTATTAGAAGTCCTAAACCTTTTCAGAGGTAAATAAACATTCATTTGTAACAATAATAAGTAGCTTTCCATATCCAATTATTGTTATCAATATTGGTAAAAGTTTTTTCTTAGATGTGCGAGTTATTTGCGAATGTCATTACTATAATAATAATAATAATGATAATAATAATAATAATAATAATAATAATAATAATAATAATAATAATAATAATAATAATAATAATAATTTTTATATCGCTGCGAGATCTGCAGTGTGGCAGTTTATAGTGATGTCTAGCACTGGAGCATCAAGCCGCAGACATGTAGCATGATGTCCCACCCAGTCACATTATCCTGACACCAGGCCGATCAGTCGTAGCACTAACCTCTTAATGATGAGCGTCAAGCAAGGCAGCTGTTAGTACCATTTTTGTAAGTCTTTGGTATAAATCGACCGGGGATCGAACCCACGACCTCCCGCATTCGATGCGGACGCTCTAACCATTTGAGGAAGTAGCCCATTTCTACCACGGGCTAAATAACGTCATTAAACTAATTTTACAAGATAAAATGTTTAACTTGTTTTTATTTCAGATTGCATCATTTTATAATTTTTGTATCAATTTCTAGAACAGAAATGTATAAAGTTCTGATAGTACAAATAACGGCTGATGACGTCATCATATTCAAATATTGGAGGCTAGACGGATGATGGACCCGGAAGATTCTGTGCCGTGTTCGTAACGATTATTAGACCCTAACGCATATTTACTGCTGCGTAGAAGCTAGTACAAATGGGCTACATCCTCAAATGGTTCACGTCTTCAGGGTTTGTGACCGTAATGGTGAAAATAAAGGTTAATTCGCCGGATTGGATTCATGCGATGGTCGTCCGAGAGTGATGATAAGTGATGTTTTTTTTAATTGATATGTGTAGTTTTTCAGTCTTCCTGCGATTCTGAAGGGATAAGAAAAGCGTGAGAAAATTCGAATCGAGCGGAGGGTTGTGGTCAAGTTGCATTTCTTATTATTTTATAATACCGTTAAGGTGATTTCATGTAGTCAGAAATTTCGTCGTGCTTTATTGATAAAACTGCAAACTCCTGAAGTATTAGCTTAAAATTGAATACAAGACTTAAAGGTAATGTTTCGGAACATATTTAGTATTTTTAATAAATTTGAAATGTCATCATTGAAAGTGACTTCCATTCTATTTCAATATTCAGTTCTCTGAAAAACAAGTCCAACGGCGGTCCAGGTAAAGTCTACTCTATAATTTGTTGAAAGAAAGATACAATCCCTTTTAGTATAAAATGAATAGCTAGCAATTACTCTCTCTCTCTCTCTCTCTCTCTCTCTCTCTCTCTCTCTCTCTCTCTCTCTCTCTCTCTCTCTCTCTCGCCATGGACATTTGGACATTGGATATATCCTTTCTCAAATGAACTTTCCATTTTTAACCCGAGATAATGAAATTATCATTTCTTTGGCATATATTGTAATTCGGAGATTCTGGAAATATCTGCTATAGAACTAAATATAATTTTGATAACTCTAAAGTTCTTTTTTTCATAACTCTATATTCCTACCTTTTCTCCAGATCCAGTGCTTGTAGTATTATTAGGAAATGAGGGTTTTGGCTCACCACCCCCTCCCACACCTCCTCCCCCACCCACGCCAAACCCTCATTTCCCTATACAACTACTATGTAGACAGATATTTTGTAACCAGACAAAACAACAGGTGTTGGAATGCGATAAGCTCTGTCAACAGAAGTGACGAATTTGTTAGAACAGCGTATGTGTGGAATATGATTATTCTAAAGACGGCAAATAGATTTTACCACAAATTTTTTATCAGATAACAGGA